AGGGACTATCAGTTTAATCACAACAGATGCACCTTTATTAAGGGCCAAAAACAATAAATGCGATAGTGGGGGTCAGAAAAGAAATATAAAAAGATAGAGAGAGAGAGAGAAAGGGGGGATGGGAATAGCTACCAACACAGGCGAGGTCCTCAGTGGTCCGGACGATGGGGATCCGTCTTGTTGTGTTGGGGAGACTCTCCGAAATCCTACCCAACCCAGGGGTCCAGTTATAGTCCACAGAAGGAAAAGGGGGGAACATGCAGAACAATGAGACTCTATTGAAATTGCTATGGGGGGAACAGGTGTATCTACAGAAAATCATCCAGGCTGAACAAACACAATAATGAATAAGTCCATTGAAGTTACTGGAGAAGAACAGGTCATGTCATTTCCCCCACCACCACTCTCTGTGGTAGGGGTCTCAGTCTCAGTCCTTGGGGAGAGGGTTCTTGATCTCTGTCTGTCACGGTGGTAACGAGGCAGATGAGGGGTCTTCAGTGAGAGACCACCAGAGTCACCCCAACAGTTCATTCAGCTTAAAGGTGGAGAGTGAAGCAGGAATTGCAGAGGGCCGCTCTGTGCTGGGTCCACGCTGGGTCTTCGCCAAGTCCTTGCCAACTCCTTGCCAAGTTCTTGCCGGGCCTCATTCGGAACGTAACGGTACAGCGGCTGCACCTGCACTGTTGCCTTCTCCAAGCCGGAACTGCAGTGGGGGGAAGGGAGTTCCTTCTCGTGGCAATCGGCAGGCAAATGAGTGAGGGTCTTCAGACAGCCTCTTACAAGAGGTGACAGCTGGAACTTACCAGACAGGCAGACGGCCTTTTTCTGCAGCCAACAGGGATTTGCATCCCCAGATGAATGCAAGATAAGTGGAGGGTTATGACCCACAGAGAGGATGGAGGTGGGGTGCCAGGTTGGGACTTTCTAGAAGAGGTTTTTGTCTGTTTTAGAGATGGGGATGTCCAAGAAGCGTCCCCTTAGGTCACCTAAAGGGAAAGTGTCTGTTTTGATCTCTGTGCTGAGGTGCACAGGGCAGAGCAGTTCCGGTGTGTGTCCTGTCACTTGTCTCTGGTGCACCCTGTGTTCTTTGGGTCTCTCGGTCCTTTCTTCTCATCTAAAGCTCTCTCTCCCTCTCCTGTCCCCTCGTCTGTCACGTCCTGTCCCGTGTCACGGGTGTCTGCGCATATTCATCCCGGAGCTGCTCTGCCCTGCTGCATAGCCTGTAACAGCACAAGTCCTGTGGACTTGAAATTTGTAATGCAGGGTGTAGTTGGGCTCTAGACTGGATTAAGAGATTGCCATAACATGTTTGGTACTGTTAAGTTTTTCTGCAGCTGTTTGACACTAGTCCTAACTTCCTTTCAGATGCAGACAGTTCAAATCTGTGGCAGTGGGCTCCAGTCCTGGCTGAGGAACTTCCAATGAGCAGGTCAGTCATTGTTTGCATTTGCAGGGGAAGCCTAAATGGTGACTCTATTACAGTGGAGTTCTTTGCCTTTATTTTTAGGAGGTCCAGGCAGATAGCAGCTGTCAAGGCCAAGTCTGCCAGGTGAGCAGTGGAGAGAAGCAGTTGTTCTTGCTCAGGTTTCAGTTTTTGGTGCAACACTAAGCATGCTTTTTTGTTTGTGTGCTTTAGGGAATCCACTGGGAGTATGCCAAGCCCTTGTCACCAGCTGGCTGATGGACCGGGTTTCCTGCACTTATGAGCCCTCTGGAAGTATTACAGGACCCTGTGATGAAGCCTACCGGTTTTGTATTTCAAGGTCTTCTCCTGGTAGCCCAGAGGACTGGCCGAGGAGTTGCAGTGAGTCGGTGAGGTAGGGAGGAGTGAGAGTCCACTCGAGTTTCAGCAATGCCATGTAACGTTGTCTCCACTTAACCTAGCTGTACCCTGCAATGACGGCGTCAGAATCCAAGCAGACCTGAAGCGTCCAGGCCACGTACATGTCCATTTTGATGAGAATGGTGAGTAGCAAAATTATCAGGTTTTGGCAGATGTGCTGTTAAGACTGTGTACTGATGTTTGGTTTTCTTTCTCTTGGCAGACCAAGAGGTGACAGCTGGAACTTACCAGACAGGCAGACGGCCTTTTTCTGCAGCCAACAGGGATTTGCATCCCCAGATGAATGCAAGATAAGTGGAGGGTTATGACCCACAGAGAGGATGGAGGTGGGGTGCCAGGTTGGGACTTTCTAGATGAGGTTTTTGTGTCTGTTTTAGAGATGGGGATGTCCAAGAAGCATCGCCTTAGGTCACCTAAAGCGCAAGTGTCTGTTTTGATCTCTGTGCTGAGGTGCACAGGGCAGAGCAGTTCCGGTGTGTGTCCTGTCACTTGTCTCTGGTGCACTCTGTGTTCTTTGGGTCTCTCGGTCCTTTCTTCTCATCTAAAGCTCTCTCTCCCTCTCCTGTCCCCTCGTCTGTCACGTCCTGTCCTGTGTCACGGGTGTCTGCACATATTCATCCCGGAGCTGCTCTGCCCTGCTGCATTGCCTGTAATAGCACAAGTCCTGTGGACTTGAAATTTGTAATGCAGGGTGTAGTTGGTCTCTAGACTGGATTAAGAGATTGCCATAACATGTTTGGTACTGTTAAGTTTTCCTGCGGTCTTTTGACACTAGTTCTAACTTCCTTTCAGATGCAGACAGTTCAAATCTGTGGCAGAGGGCTCCAGTCTTGGATGAAGAACTTCCCATGAGCAGGTCATTGTTTTCATTTGCAGGGGAAGCCTTAATGGTGACTGTGTTAGAGTGGTGTTCTTTGCCTTTATTTTTAGGAACTCCAGGCAGATAGCAGCAGTCAAGGCCCATTGTGCCAGGTGAGCAGTGGAGAGAAGCAGTTGTTCTTGCTCAGGTTTCAGTTTTTGGTGCAACTGTAAGCATGCTTTTTTGTTTGTTTGCTTTAGGGAATCCACTGCGAGTATGCCAAGCCCCTGTCACCAGCTGGCCGATGGACCGGGTTTCCTGCACTTATGAGCCCTCTGGAAGTATTACAGGACCCTGTGATGAAGCCTACCGGTTTTGTATTTCAAGGTCTTCTCCTGGTAGCCCAGAGGAATGGCTGAGGAGTTGTGGTGAGTTGGGGAGGTTGGGAGGAGGAGCGAGGGTCCTCTGAAGTTTCAGCAATGCCATGTAACGTTGTCTCCACTTAACCTAGGTGTACCCTGTGTTGAAGGTGTCGGCCTCCAAGCACGCCTGAGGTGCGTGGCCCGAGCATTCTTAGGAAACGGTGAGTAGCAGAATTGTCAGGTTTTGGCCGATGTGCTGTTAAGGTTGTGCACTGATGTTTGGTTTTCTTTGTCTTGTCAGACCAAGAGAGAAGAGCCTGGTGACAACTGGAATTTCCCAGACCAGCAGGAGGCCTCCTTCTGCACCTGATGAGGATTTGCATCCCCAGATATGTGCAAGATAAGTCGAGGGTTACGACCCACAGAGGGGATAGAAGAGAGGTGCCAGGTTGGGACTCCGCAGGAGGGGTTTTTGAGTCAGTTTTGGAGATGGGGATGTCCAAGAAGCATCCCCTTAGGCCACCTAAAGCGCAAGTGTCTGTTTTGATCTCTGTGCTGAGGTGCACAGGGCAGAGCAGTTCCGGTGTGTGTCCTGTCACTTGTCTCTGGTGCACTCTGTTTTCTTTGGGTGTCTTGGTCTTTGCAGACATTCCTCTCATCAAATGTTCTCTCTCCCTGTCCTGTCCTTTTGTTTTTCATGTCCTGTCCTGTGTCACGGGTGTCTGCGCATATTTGTCCCGCAGCTGCTCTGTCCTGCTGCATAGCCTTGTGTAATTGCACCAATCCCAGAGATTTGCAATTTTGCGTGGGGCATGTAGTTGCATTCAATATAGTATTCCTAAATTCACACTAGATGTTTTGACCTGTTAAGTTATCCTACAGCTGTTTGAATTTTCTCCCAACTTTCTTTCAGATGTAGATGCATTAACTCCGTGGCGGTGTGCCCTGCTCCAGTCAGGGGGCTTCCCTGAGGAGGTCAGTCATTGTTTGTGTTTGCAGAGGAAGCCTACATCGTGACTGTGTTACAGCGCTTGTCTTTGTGTTTAATTTTAGGATGTCCAGGTGGCTAGGAGCAGTCAAGGCCCAGTGTGCCAGGTGAGCAGTGGACAGAAGCTGTTGTTCTGGCTCTTGTCTCAATTTCTGGTGCAATTCTAAGCATCCACTCTGGGTTACTTTGTTTTATTGTAGGCAGTCCTCTTGCAAGATGTCTCTGGTCCGGATGTCTGAAGCCAGGTGGGTGCAAGCTTAAGGTCTGGGTGGGTGTACTTTTCGAGTCAGGGGGGTGGTGTTTTCGCAGTATCTCAGTGTGGGTTTGGTTTTTTTGCTTTGTTTTTTTGCAGGTGCTGTCACTGCCCTAGGTGTGTGAAGGAACAGAGGCGAGCGGGTGAGTTGGCATTTAGGCACGGTCACTCATAGGTGACCGTTATGCAGCAGCATGCTAAGCGTGTACCTTTTCATTTTGCAGGTGTCCTCCAAGCAGCCTGTGGAGTCAAATCGAGTTTTCTGGTGAGCCGGGGCAGCGGTGTGTCTGAGTTCCGGGGATTCCTCCTTTGGTGGGCACTAATTGCATTTTCCGTTTTGTCTTAGGTACCCCGAGGAGGTGCGTAGCTGAAGTTTGGAACTGGCAGCACTGAAGCGGATGTAGAGAACATCTCACCGTCCACATCCAACTGACATTGAATTCTGTCTGGTTGTCTTGCAAAAGCTAAGTGCTGGGACCAGTTGGTGGGAGATGGGGGAAAAACCTTTACTATCACAGGAGGCAATTTGATGTTAACTTAGAGGAGAGGCCCATAGTGGAACGGGCCCCTCGGGAGCAAAGGGAGAGGGTTTCTCCTCAGCCTCACCAGAGTCTTTGCCGGCCAGGGCAGTTCCGATCCGTCTCCGCATTCTCGTGAGGTTCGCATCAGCGGCCTTCTACGACTCTTGATGTCATCGTGGATATTTTCACTCGAGGAGCCCGCCTGCATGTCTGGAACTATAGCCATGGTTACCCTGTAGTCATTGCTTCCTTCTCTGGACTTACTGAGCTTCTTAGGCTTCCTCTTAAGTGCTTTGGCACTAACATCTTGAGAGGAGTTACCTTTCATCATCATGTGGTATTGCCCTAGTTCTTTCTTTCCTTTGGCATCATCAGCCCATGGCTCATCTTGGGCTAGGAATCTTGGGGTCCATAAGGTGGAACTGCCAGGCAGTTTCCACTTGTGTCCGTGTCATGTTGTCTGTGTCCGGTGTCATGTTTTCTGTGTCCACTGATTTATGTGTCGTAGGCCTTTGTTACATCTCCATGCTTTAGCAGCATCATTCTGTGCTGTATCGGCCGTATTTTACTCACGTACCTTACTGGATATCACTTATTCTGGCATCTTTACGTTTTTACCTTTTGGGACAGGAGGATGTACATGAGATGTTCTCATCCATCTTTCTTCTCACCTTTGGTAGCGCCTTCTCTTCCCATGCCGTTCTCTTGGACTTCTATACGGAGCATATTAGACACTCATCACGTGACCGCAGTAATTCTGTTGATTCCGCCTTCTCAAAGGGTATAGGGTCAAGAATTAATCTTCTGGAGAGTTATGTCAAGTCCTCACTTCTATTGTATCTCTGTTGGCTTATATTATATGTGCTTATGTTGTGCCTACCTATGTTGGCTTATAATGTATGTATAAGCCAATATACTTATATTGTATGTACTTATGTTGTATGTACCTCTCTTAGTTTATATTGTATGTACCTATGTTGGCTTATATTGTGTGCACTCATATTGTATGTACCTACCTTGGCTTATGTTGTATGAGCCTCTGTTGTGCCAACTACGATCGGAGCTGCCCTGCCCCGGCATGTAGTGACGCTTAGGTAGAGCAGTTGTAAAACTTTGCAGTTCATCTGTCTTCTATGGGGTTTTGGGTACAACACTGACGGGCCCAGAGTGGGAATAGCTCCTAGCTCTCAGATAGTCAGTCATTGACTGCCTCCCATTGTCTTGTAGGTCCCCGGGTCCCTACAGAATTTCCTGGAATCTACCATTTGACGTCGAGGAGCGGCAGTCAGAAGATGTGTCGAAGCATATTCTTCAGCGTAATGTTTCACATAAGGGTGGCATTCAGCATGTCAGCAGAAGCATGTGTGAGTGTGATTGTCTGTATCTGTTTGTGAGAAGTTTGTGTGTGCTCCTGTCTGCAGGTCTGAGCGTATGCTGACCGGTGTTAACCCTGTGTGTATGGCCTTTGCCTTTCAGGTTTTTCAACTCATTTTTGAATTTAGAATAAAAAATCCCCAGCTGGGGTTTTTCCCCCCCCCACCCCCTGGCTGGGTTTTTTTCCTCTGTCCTGGCCAGTCCACGAGGTGACGTTCGTCACTAAGGTTTGGCCACAGACCATCCCCAGACCAGGGTTTTTGTCAAGGAGGATTTTTTGGAGGCTCCCGGGAGCCACGTTCCCGAGGAACAATGATTTCTGGGGTGTAACGGAGCAGTTGAGATGAGAGCGATGGTGAGTTTGTGTGTAACATGAAGGAGGTGCTCGTGGTGGATGAGTGTTGTTTTGTGTGTGTAATCTTTGTTTTGTGTTTCCTCTAACAATAAAACAAAATGTAATTAAAATAGAAAAAAGGATCATGTTGTGTTGATATGTGTTTGGTTTCTATTGCCCTGTGTTGTTCTGTATTTGCCATTGCTGCTGCATTTCCATGTATTGCTATGTATCTATGCATGTCTATGGATTGTATCTGTACTTGTATTTGTATCCATTGTTTCCATGTGTTTTGCTGAAGTGTAAATAAAAAAATTCATTCAGTAAAGTTGAATCAACCCTAGTAATGATGCCCCTGCTCCCTCACCTTCCAGCTTTGGCTCCTGTCTTTCTTTGGTGTGGTTCAGTAATTTTTTTTCCCCTGTATTTCTTCCTTTGCTTCTCATCTTTCTTTTGTATTTCTGACTTAATTTCTGTCTGTCCCTAACTCTGTGTTTCTATTTCTCACTGTTTCTAACTCTGTCTCTCTGCTTCTCTATTTCCCGCTTTTTTTTTCTTTCTTCCTCTGTTTCCAACTATTTATTTTTCTCTCTATAGTTTATACTTTACTCTTTCTTTTTCTCTCTAGCTTTAACTCTTTTTTCCTCTTTTTTACTCTCACTTTCTTTTTCACCCTAACCCTGCTCATTTTTCACTCTTTTTGTTTTCACTGTTTGCCTCTGTTTTCATAGTTCTTTTTTTTCCGTCTCTTTTTCTCTTCAACTTCAACTTTTTTTAACCCTTTGTTTCTCTCTATTTCTACCTTTATTTCTAACTCTGCTTTCCAGCTTTAAAAAAAAACAGCAGTAAAAACTTTCAGGCTCCCTGGGAGTAAAAAAAAAAAACACCAACCAAACCTTTAAATAATTATCTAAAGAAAATTATTTAATTGCTGGGAGCCTGAAATTTTCTACTGCTGCACCAGACATATAGTTTTTCTTCTTTTTCCTAATAGATATAGGGCCCCTAATTAGCGATCCAGCTGGCAGGTAGCAGTAGCAATACACAGCAACCAGTACTCTCATCAATCCCACCGGACGAATAATGATACGACCGAGAGTTCATCATGTTGAAACATAAATTTTAAGGGATTTAGAGATTTTAGAGGAGCTAAGATTTTAGTTAAAGACAAGCCTTACTAGAGTTAATTAAAATAAATGAGTAGGCCTTGATAAAGTTAAGAGTGAGTAGTTAACTAGTAATTGATTGCCTGTCAGCACAATGTTTAGTTAGCTGTGTTTATGATGAAGAATATAGAAACTGATAAATAGATTTTAGGAGCATAAGACAATTGTGGGCTTCCTCTGTTCTGAAATCAACTGAAGACAAGGAATGGGAGTTCTACTAAGAGTTCATTTGTCATATTTGCATTGAAACGGTAGAAAGGCCAGAATGAGGAAGACTTCATTTACTTCCACATTTTGGGACTCATCCCCATGAAAGAGACCACCGACCCATTTCAGGGAACAAACTTCATGCTTAATAGCTTTTGAAATGATTAGCATATGAAGCAAGGAATGGGATGTACCAAAATGAATAGGTATTTGTATTTTCGGTATTCAGTACTTGTATGGATAAAAGGGCTCTTTAATCACTTGGAAAGTGCGGTGTGTATTTGGGAACTATCCCACATGCTGCTGGGTGTCGAATAAACATACACTTTCTAACTTCAAACTGTTAAAGAGTTTTTGTCTGTCACAGTTGGATATCGGTACAAGATCAATATCCATATTTTTATTTTAATAAATCAACATCACAAGGATAGAATTGCACAAACAGGCGCTCTGGCCCCACAGCCGCCGGCCGGCAGCGCGCCCAGCCCTCGGTCTCGCAGCGCCGCCTGCCGTTGCAATTCGCGCACTGCACCCACGCCTCCCTCTGGCCCGCCCCT